AATTGCTGGAACCTCTTGGCATCTCACTTTCCATTTATCATTCCACTGAGCACAGAGAAATTTCAGAGAGTAACAGCCTTCCTCTCCCAGAAGATATCCCGAGGACAGACTCGCACAAGAATGATCTGACTCATTCAAGGACTGCTCACATTTTAATTACTCTATAATTTTATTGCAATGCTTTTTACACCTTATTGTATAGAGTATAGACTGAGTTTCCAAAATGCAACCATCACATGTTTTAGTTCCCTTTTTGTTTGTCACATTAAAGTTAGCTGAGTAAAAGCGGAATACTTAGAAATTGTGTTATGAAAACTAATCATACCTAGATTAATTTCTCACAACGAAAGTGTGCATTACAAAATTTCATAAGCCTCTTTGCATAATTATAATGCCTACTGAAAGTTTTAGAAGTCAGTGATTCTAAATTTTTTTAATGTTTGTCTGTAACTAATATCTCCATAGTGATGCTGTAGGATGTCAATAACATGAAATCATTCATATTTCATGGAATAGCTTTGATGTAATTCTAGCAAGTAGAAATATGGAGACTAGAAGTACACCCCTCTCTTTCCTAGATGTTTAAGGATTATACCAGGGAATTTATAGACTCTCTGCCATTCCCATGATGCTGATACACATTTCTGATGGAAATGTCATGTAAAATATTCTCAGCTACCTGTTATTTCGTAAGTGATGGATAGGAAAGGTGCAGCACTAGACTTCGACGTGCTCTGATATTTACTTTCTGAAATAACAGGGAAATAGCACCATAAGCATAGCCTTTCTTCTTTGCTTTTTCAAAAGAAGCTGTGACTAAAGTGTGCTGCTTGGTGGAAACTGTAGATAAAAGACTATAATCCTAATGAGTTCGCCTTCTCTTTAGGCATGGTTTCACTACATTGTTCTGCTTATGTCTTTGATGAACATGGGAGAATGCACATACTTCATTCACCTTCTGCCTATTCACTGTTCAATTATCCTTGCACCATCTGTCTGGCCACTGACCCTCCAATCTATTTTGCTGGCACATCTGACGTGCTGTCATCGTACAGGATCACTGTCAGAGCCGTCTTTCCCAGTAACCCCACTGCAGTGGCCTTTTCCAGACTTCACTGTAGAACTCTTGATGTGCTTTTCACGGAGGAGTGTTCTTAGGTTTCTTACAACATATATCACTTTTAAGTTTTAGTTTCCCTTGATTATTTTCCATCTGCACCAAATGGAAGAATTCCTTGACTGCTGTAGTTGAAATCTACTTTAATTTCACTTTGAACTTTAAAAACACTCAACATACACCCATGCATCCAATAACAGCAATATTTTTGTTAGTTTTCTAGGAGTTTAATACAACTACCTTCCTTATGGCCAAGGCCTCTACTTTTCATATTTTGTTAAAGAGTAGATTTCATTCCAGTATAAGCTGGACATTCTTCACAGCCTACTGGAATCCCGATCAGCCCAAAAGAACTTATCAAGGGTTTTAACCCTAACTCTTCTCATTATAGAACTTGTCAAGTCTTTCTTCTAAAGACTTGATATACTGGAAGTTGTGGTCACCTGAATAGTGTGTGTGTGTGTGTGTGTGTGCGTGTGTGCGTGTGTAAGACCAAAATCGTGAGATTTTCTTGCAGCCAACAGCAGAATAAAAATAAAATGTAGATGCACTCTAAGATCAAGTGGATATATTTTTTGGTCATCTATAGAAGGTATTACTAATTAATCGCTATACTGTTAATGTAACTCAAATGACACAAATAGCATAGCAAGTTGTGACTAGTATGCTAAATATTTTTTTGAGTAGTTTAATCAGATGTCTTTAATTTTCTGGAAATTAAATATACTAACTGCATGAAACAGAATTTTTCTGGTCTGTCAGTGTGATATGAGTCAGTTAATAGTAGCACATACACAGATGAACAAAGTGGGTAATGTGCCTCTGTAATACTGACGTAGCCACTCCCCATGTACACGGACCTCCCAAGGTGATAGAGGAAGTTTCTGTCAATTTCATACTGCCAAGGTGATGAAGGAGGTTTCTGTCAATTTCATATTACTTGCTGTTTTTTGTGTTAATAAATTTATTTTTGAGTGAAAGTATTTGATTTTGAGGGAAGATATTTTTAACACCTTGGTTACATGTGGGACAAATCATACAGCACACAGTGTGAATCTGAAATAAATGAATATTATAGACTTTGTTCATCAAAGTGAATACACTACAAATTTCTCTTAGGCTGAGTTGTTCATGGTTCTATAGCAGAAGGTAGACTGTGAACATTCTGCCCAGCCCAGCCTATTTGTCTTTTTATTCATACATACACAGTCTTCGCTTGTCATCCCTTGTTACAGCTGATACATTGTGTCACCTTGAGGAGTCTACAAGCTTAAGTAAGTAACTCAGCCTTTCTTTATCCTGGGATGAAAAGGACATGCCCTTTTCGCTCTAGGATACTGTTCGTTGTGTCAATTTAAAAAGTTTAAAAGTTCAACTAAGTGATTCAGCAGGGGGCCAGGGTCCTTACTTTGTAACATTCTCAGCTTGTGGAAGAGGGGGGCATGGAGATGGTATGGGCCTGAGCAGATAGCTGATATACAACATAAGGGGAAAAAAAAGAGGCTTGCTTTCTCCCTCTTTTGCTCTTGCTGATTCTGCTGTCTTCTGCTGCCTTAGGCTGTTACCCCAGTGTCATGACACTCTGCTTGGAGCCAGCTGATCATGGACTGAAACCTCCACAAACTGTGAGCTAAATAAACCTCTCCTTCCTTAATTTTGGGCCTCTGGTATTTTGTCTTAGCAACAACAACAAAACAGTAACCAAGACAACCCTGGCATGCTGGTGTACTAGTTTCTTACTGGAAAATGTTAAGTGCCCTTGGTGAAAGAGGTTGGGAGGAGTACTTGTGTAGTTCAACTTTTGAGGAAAAAATGCTGCATTTTAAAGGAGAACCAACTGTTGTGGAAGCCCCCTATAAAATATGTTTTAGTATTCTTAGTATATGATATAAAGGGCAGAAATTCCTAAGTTATTCATCTTACACATTAACATTACAAATATTAATTTTAGGTAAGTAATTCTTTAATATTTATTAACATTTGCTTTAGAGTAACAGATATATCATAATGATATTCCTTTTGTGTTTCTTTGACTTTTATTTTGTATTTCTTTGGCTTTTATTTTGAATTCATTTGCAGTAGTTTGAGGAGGTATGAAAGACTCTATGAAAAACATGAAAAAAAATCCAGTTGCAATTCAGAATTCTTAAGGACCCTTTGAAAGTAATAACCTACAAGACACAATTGACATTCAGAAACTAAAATCTATTCTACCTCGAGCCATGAAATTATACTACTCTGAAAAGACTGCTGTAATAAATCTACCTAAGCGAGTTAAAAATGCAGCCATTAAAGTGGCCAAAAATATTAATGTACTAACATTACATGTTTTATGCTACTTCCTTACAACCTCAAGACACATTAGTAGTAAAATGTGTCCCTAGGCTAGATTCCTAAATGAGTTGGCGCGCTCTGTAAAATGAGTAGATACAGAACAATTACATTTTGGAAGTTGCAAATGCAAACCTTCAGTACTTATCTTCCGTGAATGTCTGGTTGCTAATGTCCCTTCTTTGTATAGGAGCACAGAGCCATCTGTTCTTCTGGTTGTTCTGATCACTCTTGCTCAGATCCTGTGCCTGAATAGTCTCTTTTTTTTTTCTTCTTTTTTCATTTGCTGGTGTCAACTAAGATTTTCATTCTTTGCCATTTCCAGTCAGCACAGTTCCTAGAGAAGCCCAACCTACCCTAACCGCAACTTGCCGGATACAACATGCTCATCCTCATTTGCAAGACTGATGCTTTGCTTCCACACACACTATTCCCGCTACCTGGGATAAGCATCCCCTTGCTGTCCTCACTGACTCATGTGTGAGTGGTGTGCCCTTCACCACTTGACTCAAGCGCTACTTCCTCTGTGACAGCCTCTGTTTCTGTGACTTCCCCAAGAGCCATGCTGAAACTTAGCTGTATGGTGTATCACACTGCAATGTAACTACAGATTTGTCTGTGTTTCCCAGTAATGGAGTGAAGGACCTTCACGGCATGAAGTCTGTATTGATGTTTCTAGAGCCTCACTATCTTTCTACATGTTTTGGGATTCTGTTGGCAACATTCAGTATATGTTGAATGGATGTGTGACAGAAATCCCGCTACTCTTCAGATCAAGGGGGTGCCGGGACTGCTTAAAACTCTGCCTAAAATGTGTTCATGTTAGTGTGGATTGAAGATCTAATAGTTCACTGAAAACTTGATCCAACAATGATGAGAATTTAACAACAGCATTAACATTTAAGAATACATACTTTTGTTTTTGGCCATATTGGATTCATTTATTTGTTTGTACACTTACCGCATCTGTCCCCAAAACTGACACTAGAAAATAAAATAAAATCGAAAATACAGCTGTCAAACTATTAAAAGGGAGAAACAGGGCACGTGTTCAGGTTAAAGCTTCCTTTTGTTACAGTCTTTTAAACTCTGAATTTATTTCACTTAAATTCCAACTAAAAGTTTTACTCAGTACCATAACTAATTCATCTCTCAGTACATTTTCAAAAAATGAGAGTGATGTTTATGAGGTTTTACCTCTTATCTAAAGAAAAATGTAGTCATTATATACTTGTGTATACTTATAAGATTTTATTCTAATTTCATAATTAATCTGTTCTGGTAAATTTTGGCACAGAGGGGAATCAGAAAGGTATTTAAAACAAAAATTTAAAAAAGCAGCTCATCAGTTACTCGAATCTGAACAAAGACAGATTTGTATTAAAACTTTTCAACAACCATAATGTGGATTAAAGTTCACCATGGTGTACGTCAACTATAATGAGATCAGAAATACATTTCTTTATGGATCAAATGGCCCTGCATATACGCATGTAGGGCCACCACATGCTTACTCTCCTGAGTAAGTCACTGAGAAGAAAGCAAAACGTACCTTCTTTGTCCTTGTGTGTATCTAAGTGTGACAGGAGGTTGTCGTTCGTCTGCACGCAGTAGGCCTCTCGGGTCTGGACACCTCCTCCGCAGAGGGCAGTCTGGTTGCCACGCCTCTTGTCCTGCTGGCTGAGTAAAGGGTCCACGCGACATTCCGTCCACTCTGTAGTCCTCCAGCCATACCTAGATGAAGCACAAGCCAGCAGGGGCCGCCATGTTTAGTGAATGAAGAATTTCTCTACTCCTCTCATATTTTGTTCTAAAAATTATTTTAATACTGTTTTCCTCTTGACTCCATCACAGACTGGAAGTATGACGCAGAGCAAATTTCAATCCCTTGCTTCCCTTCAGCACTGCCCCAGGAGGAGCAGGGTTAGATTTAGAATGACTCTGTTTTAATTGCCATTTGTAAATATTTTATGCAAAAAGAGAACACTGAAAACATAAAATTTTATGTTGAATTAAGCTAAACCCAAGCCTACCCTTTCTTGATGCTTATAAACAAAGGAAGATCGGATTTGAAAATGGAAAACATTCTAAGTGATGAAAACATTTGTTTTGTCTCTAATAAAATGAACATGGCTGCTTTACACTGGGGCAAAATCATAATCGCGTTAGGGTTAAAGGAAACATAGCAGAACAATCCAGAGTTTTCCCTTTGTTGTCAAGAACGGGAATTTGTTCCACTTGCTGTCTGTAGTGCTAGAAATTCCTGATGAGACAGAGGGTGAAGGTGCTCATAGTTCTACTGTGAGAGACAATCTATGACGTGCAATTAAAGCACCAATCAAGATCATGATGTGCAAAAAGTGCTGGGGACTCTCAGCACAACATGTGCTTGAAGGAGACAGCTAGGACTGTTTCCCAATGCACCTGAAGAGAGGCAGTGATTGCCATGTTTTCACACCTAGGATATGAATGCTCTAAAAGCCCAAAGAAAATGGGTCATGTAGCACTCAAGTCCAGTCACTTTAACCAAAATGCCTTCTCAGAATCAGATTAACAGCTAACATAGATATAAATGGACGTGTCAGTGTTCATCCTGATTAGACAAAAAGGTTAAAGGGGCCCTTAGGTGTCAGATCTGATGCTTTTCTCTGTTAGGGGTAAAGTTTCTTGACAGGAAATCTGAGGTCCATGCTGGCTTCATTTTTTGTAAGTGGCGATTCATGGTTTAACAGAGCTTTAGACCTGGGCATCGGGAACAACACGCTTGACCTCTGTTTGTAAAGACAGGGTAATACTCTGGTCAGTTCTAGAAACATTGAATTGATGCATGTTCACAAGGATAAGATATAGAGAGGTAAAGCCAAATAATTCATGTGTTAGGGAACTTAAATGATGGTCACTTTTAAAATATAGAATGGAATTTCAGTTTAGGTCACATCAAGGAGCCCTGTGAGAAGAACAGACTTGCAGTACTGTAAATACATCATATATTTTAAGAAAAATGCTACTACCTAAAAAAAAGGGGGAACACAGAAATAAACGCAAAGATTGGATCCATTTTGTTAACGATGTTTAAATATAAGAGGAAAAGACAAAAGTAGAAAAAATCCACAGGAGGGAAAATACCCTGAAAATTCTGGCAACCTCCTCGTGTGTGTAATTAGGGAGAAACCGCCAGTCAGTGGGACAGGTGGGGACCGAAGGAAGCTGGAGTTTCCAACCACTTGTTATCCTGGAGGACAATGGGTAATTTCAAAAAGCTGCAGAATTGAAGGTCTCACATAAATCATCACTATTTTTGTTATCTTTAGCTGTACTGGTAGGAGCATTAATTTCCCTTCTCACTGATTTGTGAAGTTCCAATTGTACGCACGCTCTTGAAATGTGTGGAATATTCCAGAGAAGCTCTTGATAAGGTTTGTGCACCACTGAGAAACTAAAATTCACTCAGTTGTTTTATATCCCTTCTGTATTCAGATAAAGCTCAGCTAACGTGGTTGCCAAGATAGTTCACAATAATGTCTTGGAAATAACATTTGTAAGGATGAAAAGAACAGTGCTATCTTGTCAAATATTTCTGAACTCCTCTTACTTCATCTGAATTCAAACATTTCCTGGGTACTGACTACATGTCAGATGTTGTTATATTCTGGTGCTAAAATGACAAATAAATAAACACATGAATGTGACACTGCACCCACACATAGATCTTAAGATTAGTAAGCACAGTTCTTGTCTTTAAAGACTTTTAAGTTTCATTATTTGGTGGTAGTATTTTATTCTATTTAATAGGATTTGTTATACATATTTAAATGGATCACAGAATCTATACTGTGAAAGTCCACTTTATGGAAAAGGGACTGACAAACTACAAAAACGAAAGTACCAAATCAACCTGTCACTGATTTTGTAAGAAAAGTTTTATTGGAACACAGCCAAACGCATTTGTTTACATACTGTCTACAGTGCCAGAGGTGACGCTGAATCATTGCAAGAGAGAAATATGTGACCTGCATAACCTAATGTATTTATTATATGGCCCCTAAGGGGAAAAACAAAATATCTGCCAACTGGTATTACAGAAAGTACGTAAGTAGAGAAGTGCTGCTAAAGTTTAACCTTGATGGGTACTTAGACGCTCCAATTTTCTTCTGCAAAACCTGTAGTTTTCTTTTAGAGTTTGGAGAGGGGTATTTTATTTTTCTGTTTAAAATGTATACAAATGTCTTGGTTACTCACGTGGCACAGAGGGCAATTCCATCTTCTTGGGCCACACAGGCTTCTCTCTCTTCGAGCTCTGGACACTCCTTTTCACTGCCCACGGGAAGCTGTCGGATGGTCCTGGTCCTCACACGGGTGCCCGTAGGGGACGCCATGTCATGGCACGTTTTTGAGCACGGGCTCCATTCCGACCACTCGGACACCTGACACTCTTTGGTGATCACACAGGACTGGAAAGTCACTGGCAGCTTCTCCTGCTGGCAAAAGCTGCAAGAGAGCATTGATATTCTCATCATGGACTCTCAGGCAGTAAGGGATATTGTCTCCTCACCCCACAGGAAAATCGGCTTGGGCATTTTTATTTCTACTTCGAGGTGTGGTTTCAACTTCTTTGAAAATACATGAACATTTACAAAGTGTAAAAAGCAGACTCTAAGCTAACATTTTCATTACTTCCCATTTGGTGAGAGTTGTTAAAACATTCATAGGCAACAGGAAATAAAAGAGTTTAAGGAAAATTAGCTGAAGCTAAGTTTACCATATTGCTCATTTTACTCGTTCCAGATTTGTTTTAATTTAGATAATGAGAAACCAAGAACTGTTTATGTGCATCAATTTCCACTTGGTTTAGAGGTTTAAATAAGTATGCTGGGCTAAATTTAATAGGGTTTGAGTAGAAAAAGTAATTTAATATGTGCCTTAACATTATTTTTAATATCATTTGAAACATTGGTTATAATTTGCAATTATAATGTGTTTATTCAACTAGATGAACTTTTCTAATTAATAGTTTAATATATAGTATACATAAGCTTATCCTAATTAAATAATTCTAAGTATTAGAAATGTGAATATATTTATTTTCATACTATAGAGGTATCCATTAAACATACCTCTAATATTTCATTAATGATCTATTTATGCTCAAATTCTTGTTAATACCTACTTCTATTTCTACTTAAATTAGAGGGATATTGGATTCCCAATCACAACACCTACATATGAAGATGAAGATATTAGATGTCACAGCTAAAAGCACATGCACTTTGCAGCGATTTTGGGAGTAGGATGGACTTATGTTGATTGCTATTTGAACTCTCACCTTCTCAATAACCAGTAATGTAAGTTCCTATGTGCAGCCTGTCACCATGATAGAGAGATCTGCTCCAAACGAGAGAATACACTGATAATTATGACTTATTGTTCAGGTGCTGTATTTATCTGTGATAATTAAGCATTCAGAGAGGCAGGTCCATTTCACCGTAACAACTCCCACTCAATCTTCTTAATCCTCCTGGCTGGTGCATGAAATTGTATTCATAGGGGAGAATTAGAGCTCAAAGTATCAGAGTCAATTTATCTGCATTGAGAGGGTGGAGCCGAGGAGAAGCCGAGGGTGGTAGCAAAAATATCCTGTGGGTCAGCTTTATTTCCTTGTGACCAAGATACCACTTCTATTTAAATGTTATGCACTGAAAAATGATGATATATTAGGACCATGCTAACCACGAGTGAAAGCTTTCTCTGTGATGAAAACACTTTTGCTCTCACACTTATGACTTTATGCATAAAAATCAAGCAACATAATGACCAAAGGCTAGCTAGCCTCTATAGCTTTTCATTATAAAATTCTAAATGAGTTCTTGATAAAATTCATCTTAGATTTTATAATCTTCCTGAAATTATTTTCACAAATGTTAGCATGTATTATCCTTTGTCTAATACTGAGTAATACCTTACAATTATTAATACGTAATACTTTAATAAATTTGTAGTTAATCTCCCAAGGGTTAGCAATCACTTTTAAGCCTTTGTAAGGGATTTGATGATTGGTAAACTGCCTTCAATTACAGTTACCCTGCTCACCTGATAGAAGCTGATGTGTCAACTACATTACAGATCATAGTATTTATGATGAAATGATGCCTTTGGATAAATGTCATCTTCTGTGGAGAAAGTATCAATACTTTGTAGGTAGACACAGCTTTGGGAAGCTCTTGGAACACCCTGGTCTCTCTGGCAGCTTGGAGGTTGTGATTACAGACTGCTGGAGGAGGCTCTAGCTCCTCTCCTTGGGATGGCTCTAAGCGTTTTAAGCCAGGGCAGCTCCTAGACCTACTTAATATGAAACTCATCATTTGCATCTGAGCTATGCTGCATGGATTTCTAGAATTTTCGCCATATGAGAAATGTCTGTCCTATCATGGGAACAGATTCTGGTGCCTGTTTCATATCCTTCTAAGCGCACTGGGGTGAAGGGTGACTTATAGTAGTCTTGTGAATCCGAATACTTAGTAAAGCTTAGATTTAAGGCTTAACTCCCATTCCTTAGCTGAACATTCTCAATAAGACTTTTATGATTATATCACCTTCAGTTCTATTTTATGGGGAAGCAACCAATCTGCTGAATGTTAGGGAAGATCACGCTGCTAATAAATTGTGGACTGGACTTTGAATTAGCTTATCTAAAACCAGAGCCCATTCTCTTAACCACTCTGTCTTGTCTATCACAGTTTACACTGGCTGTAAATCTGTTAGGACATTTGCTTCTGCTGAGGCCAATGCTACAGTTGCGGGCCCTGTGAATCAATTGGCATGTATCCACAAACCCAACCTTTGCGCGATTTATGTACTTAGCAAATGTGTGGCTTATCCTAGGGTAACTTAATATATATTCATGGAAGAGCCAAAGCAAATACCCTTTTCTAACAAGTGTTAATTTTTAACAGAAGTCCTACATATGAAAAAGTGGCACAAGAATAAAAATAAATATAGTAACACAAACATTTTTTACATATGTGGCATATAAAATATTTGTATGTATGCATACGTGTATATATCTAAATAAAATCTCCTGTAATTTTTTAATACCTCAAAGCTTTCAAGAAGTGTGTGATAAATAACCCAAATTAGCCATGGCTAACAGCAGACACAAGATTACAGTGATAAAGCTGGAAACATATCTTTCTGTAAAGGGAAATACAGAAGGTTGGATGCAGTAGTAGACTATTATGATGAATTTTAACCTATGAGGATCACTTAAGTTGAGACAAAGCCAATTGATGTATACATGACATGAAATAGCATGTTCAGTGGGGAAAATAATAGATTTTTTTCCTTGGACTCAATGTAGGTAGTTTGTGGTAAGCTGTAGAAATAAGATGGAAATTAAAGACCTGGATTAGATTCTAGCTATTAATGTTAGTCCAAAATAAGATCTGCAGCTAAGAATGCACTGAAAGCTTTGGAGCAAGAGGATGATATTTGTGTGTATTTTGGATTCTGATAGTGAGGTGGGAGAATGGATTATGAGGGCATAAGACCAGAGATGAGAATATAAAATGATATTAACATAATATTTAAAGTAAACATATATGAAGTGCTCACTGTGTTGAATTTTTCTTAGAATACCTCATGCAGTTCTGAAAAGCACTTTGTAAAGCAGAGGTCCACTCTATGCATGTATGTATGTGTATATGTATGTGTCCATCTCTTAAAAATGTTTTATTAGCACTACATATGCTATTAGCACATGTTTGCAATACATGCTGTGTTGACTGTGAAGAGCTGCTACATGTCCATATCACATCCTCATTCCTTTTACTTCCTCTTCCTCTCCCCTTCTTGCCCTCTCCCGACTTTTTCTAGGAATTTTCTTTTTTTCCTAGGAAAACTTTATTGATTTATTATTTTTAAAATTTCATTTTTAGAGATGAAAGAACCAAAACATATTAACAGAGACATAAATGCAACAACATAAAAACCATAAAAACAATACAGAATTTCTGACAAGATGAAAAGAAATTAACAATGGTTGTTGTATTACACACTGTTATCTTCATATTGGCTACTTGAATAAACACATACAGACATGTGAGAATGATCAAACAATTACATATCAAATGTTCCTTTCAAGAAAGTAATAGAAATTAATAGTACAATTATCCTGGCAATCTTGTGTATATATATATATATATATATATATATATATATATATACACACACACACACACACACACACACACATATATATTTACGTTGTCTCCTTTATTTTCTCCTTTCCCTCATTCCAGTCATTTTATTCTTTTGAACATTTTTTTTTCCCTTTCTCACTATCTATTGTACCTTTTAGATTTCATTTACTCTATCAGGTTCTGTATTTGTTTAATGGAGTAACTAATATGAAGATAACAGTATGTAATATAACGACCATTGTTAATTTCTTTTCACCTCATCTGAAATTCTGTATTGTTTTAATGTTGTTTCATTTATGTCTGTGTGTTTCCTAATATGTTTTGGTTCCTTTAACCCTAAAAATAAAATTAAAAAAAAAAAAACACACAGTGAGAAATTAGGCAAACTATACCTTTCACCATAGCATCCCAGAAATTGAAATATTTAGGAATTAATCTAACAAAACAAGTAAAAGACCTATAGAGTGAAAACTACAGTACCCTGAAAAAAGAGATCAAAAAAGATTTCAGAAAATGGAGAGATATCCCTTGCTCATGGATAGGAAGAGCAAACATAATGAAAATGGCCATACTCCCCAAACTGCTAACAGATTTAATGCAATCCCAATGAAAATACCATTAGTATATCTCACAGATCTAGAGAAAACATGCCTAAAATTCATATGGAACCAGAAGAGACCCAGAATAACAAAAGCAATCTTAAGTAACAAAGGCAAGGCAGGTGGACTCATAATCCCTGATTGAAATTATACTACAAAGCTACTGTTATAAAATCAGCATGGTATTGGCAAAAAACAGACCTGAGGATCACTACCACAGATATACTCAGCCACCTTATCTTTGACAAAGGGGCCAAACAAGTTCACTGGAAAAAAGATAGCCTCTTTAATAAATGGTGCTGGAAAAACTGGCTTGTCACACACCAAAGACTGAAACTAGACCCATGTCTATCACCATGCACTAAATTAAAGTAAAAAATGAATTAAAGATCTCAATATTAAAACAGAAACATCAAATCTACTGGAAGAGAAAGTAGGTAGAAATCATGAAGACACAGGAATAGGCAGAAAGTTCATGAACAAAAACCAAACTGCACAGGAAATTCTTCAAAGAATCAATAACTGAGATCTCATCTTATTGCAATTTTTGCATACCTAAAGAAATCACCAGCAGAGTAAAAAGAAAACCCAAAAACTGGGAAAAGATTTTAGCCAACTGCCCATCAAAGGACTTCTATCTTGAACATAGAAACAATTAGAAAAAATCAAGTCCCCCAAATTCAAAGACCCAATG